GACGGGTCTTTCGCCACTTTGGCCAGCTGCAAACGCAGAGCACAGGACCCGCTTCCTTGGGGCAGCACTGTGATAAATCAGGCTATTTTAAGGTGTGGGTCAGGTTCCCGAGGCTGCTCTGCGCCTTGGCTTAAAGTGCCATTAATCCTTTCACGTGCCCCTCGTTACAACTAAACACCCCACGGTGCCAGCCGGGCCAGACCCCGGGACTTGTGGCTCCTTGAAGGACCCTGATCGGAAGCAGGGTTAGGAGGAGGCAGCAATGCCAAAACAGCTCTTTAGCCAAGGACCTGACGGAATGTTTTCATCTTGCTCAGCACTCCACTTGAGCCAGCCTCTGGAGGTGCCACCTCCCCGGGGATGAAAAGTGGCTGAAGAGCCCAAGGCAGATGTTTTGGGGCTGAGTGGCTGCGTTTGGGGCTGCAGAGGCCTCTTGTGGGGGCTGCTGTAGGCAGGGCTGAGGGATCCTTTCTGATCGCTGACCCTATGGTGGGTTCTGGGCATGGAAACCAGATGGGGAAGGGGGGAGCCAACGCATGCAAAACTTGTGGGAAGTGCCATGAAGAAACACAACTGGAGACGTGCTCTCCTGGCTGGACCTGCCCTGATCCCCTCACAGCTGCTGGTGATGGGCTTTTCCCACCTCCGCCTGCCCTGGGTCTGCTGCCGGAGCACGGCATCTCCTGGGCAGAGCTGTGCCTGTGCTGGTGGGTGCCCCTGCCCTGTGCCAGCAGCCTGCTTTAGCCCACCCTGCCCGGCCATGGGGACAGTGTCCCTGGGCATGGCTGATGGCGCTGGGAAGGCCTGTAGGTGGTCTGTGGTCCTCAAGCCACTGATCAGAGATTTGGCAGGGAGCAAGGAAAGGTCTGGCCAGCCTTGGGGGGAACGGTGGATGTTTTCTGGGTGCACTTTGTAACTCTGATCTGTTTTCCCTTCCTCCAGCTTGTGGCCCAGGAACCTTCAAATCTAAGCAGGGGGAAGGTCCCTGCTCTCCCTGCCCTCCCAACAGCCGGACCACCTCTGGAGCAGCCACAGTCTGCACATGTCGAAACGGCTTCTTCCGGGCAGACACAGACCCCGCAGACAGCGCCTGCACCAGTGAGTCCTGCCCTGGGAGAGGAGGGGAGGAACGTGAACGAGACGTCGCTGGTGCTGGAGTGGAGCGAGCCGCAGGACACGGGTGGGCGGGATGACCTGCTCTACAACGTCATTTGCAAGAAGTGCAGCGTCGAGCGGCGCCTGTGCACCCGCTGCGACGACAACGTGGAGTTCGTGCCGCGCCAGCTCGGCCTCACCGAGCGTCGCATCTACATCAGCAACCTGATGGCCCACACCCAGTACACCTTCGAGATCCAGGCTGTGAATGGCATCTCCAACAAGAGTCCCTACCCTCCCCATTTTGCCTCTGTCAACATCACCACCAATCAGGCAGGTCAGTGGAGCTGCCGGCGAGCAGAGGCAGGCTCTCCACCGCAGAGCGGAGTGGGAATTTCTTGCTGACAGCCTTGGAGGCTGCAGTCCTTTGTGCTGCCGCATTACCGGCTCTCCGCGCCTGCATCTAATCCCCTGGGTAAATTCTTCTCTCAGTTTAACACATGTCCCTGGAGGAGATGAGATTGGAATGCGTGCAAGCGGAGAAGGGCAGGGTTGGCAGATGCTTTGGAGAGCTCTGGATCTCCTAGACCTACCCCAGAGATGTTGTGCCGGCTGCGTAGGGAGGAGGAAGGAAATGAGATTTCTTCCCTGTGGGCCTGGGAAGGCTCAGCACCAGCCCAAACCTTTGCAGCCAGCCGAGTGCTCTGCCGTTCCCTCCTTCCTCCCGCTCTGGCCCAGCTCCAGCCCACTGGTAATCTCCAGCCACCACGCTCTGATCTGATTTCACGGGTCTCATTGATGGGGTGGAGCGCAGAGCTCTGGGCGAGTGGAGGAGGGGAAGGAGCCCTGGTTTGGGCTGGCAGGGCCCTTTCCCAGGCCAGTTTGCAGCTAGGCATGGGGTGAAGCGTTACCTCGGTGCTGTTTCCAAGGCTCCCCTTGGTCCCTTATTACCTTAGCTGCAAGATGTTGAGATCGCACCTCCCTACAGAGACTTGTAGGAGACCAGTCTCAAAGCTTTTCCATGCCTTTCCACCAAGGTTGTCCAAGCAGGTCCCAGGCAGAGAGTCCCTTAACGCGTATGCAGGATGGTGGAGGGTGGAGCCTGGAGCCTGGCACAGATGGCTCATTTCTCCCCTGCCCTCTTTCCTAGCCCCATCTGCCGTGCCTACGATGCACCTGCACAGCAGCACTGGGAACAGCATGACACTGTCGTGGACTCCCCCGGAGAGACCCAACGGCATCATTCTTGACTACGAGATCAAGTACTCAGAGAAGGTAAAGCAGGAGGCAGAGCAGCCTTTTCCTTCCTCCAGCCCCTCTGGCTGGCCGTCAGCACCATGGCAAAGGGGGTCCCTGGAGAGAGAGTCCTGGGGGATGTGGGAGCCAGCAGAGGGGGGATTGCTTCACAGAGGTGGCACCCACATGTCTCCCCTACAGCAAGGCCAGAGCGATGGCATTGCCAACACGGTCACCAGCCAGAAGAACTCAGTGCGGCTGGATGGGTTGAAGGCCAACGCTCGGTACATGGTGCAGGTCCGGGCACGCACGGTGGCTGGGTACGGCCGCTACAGCCTCCCCACGGAGTTTCAGACAACTGCAGAGGACGGTAGGTACCAGGACTGGGCTGCCTCCATCCCCCAGCCCTCCTGTGCGTGCTGCTTCCCCAGTTTGACTTTGATTCCTGCTTCTCCCTCCGTCAGGCTCCACCAGCAAGACTTTCCAGGAGCTGCCTCTGATTGTGGGTTCGGCCACTGCGGGGCTGCTCTTTGTCATCGTTGTGGTGATCATCGCTATCGTCTGCTTCAGGTACTGGCTTTGCAGGGAGAGGGGGTGGTTCAGAGCTGGGTTTGGGGGTTGTTCATGTCTGCCCCAGAGCTTTCCCCCTTCTCTGTGGGTAGAGGTCTGGCAGCACCAGTCTGAGAGCAAAGGACTGGACCTGCTGCACGTGGGTACCAGAGCATGGGTCCTGCGGGAGGACTGTGCATCTCTGCTTCCCCAGCACCAGCTGGGGCTCTGCCCAGGCTCCTGCCATCCTCTCTCAGCACAACTAGGCCATCTTTTCCCATTGCACCTCGTGCAGAGGGATGGCTCTGCTCGCAGGCTGCCGGAGGGGAAGCTCTCTGCTGCAGGCTGGCTGTGCTGGAATGTGGAAGCTGGCAGTGAATGTCTTTGCCCCATCAGGAAAGGGATGGTTACTGAACACCTCCTCTCGTCTCCTTTGGGCAGGAAGCAACGCAACAGCACAGACCCCGAGTACACAGAGAAGCTGCAGCAATACGGTGAGTGTGAGAGCCCATCAAATGGGCTCTGCCTGCCCTCTAGGCTAGCCCGTCGCTAGCTAGAGACCAGGAGGGATGGGCTGACAGCCGCCCAAGCTGGCTTAGCATCAGTCACCTGTGTTGCATCCCTCCTGGTGATGACTCCTCTGCCCTTGCAGTCACCCCTGGGATGAAGGTCTACATTGACCCCTTCACCTACGAGGACCCCAACGAAGCTGTCCGGGAATTTGCCAAAGAGATTGACATCTCCTGTGTCAAAATTGAGGAGGTCATTGGAGCAGGCAAGTTCCTGGGGCTGGGCACAGCAGCTGCTGAGGCTGCTGCCTCTCACCCTGCTCCGTGGCTCACCTTGCCCCCCCCTCCTCCCCTTCCTCACCCACAGGGGAGTTTGGCGAGGTGTGCCGCGGGCGCCTGAAGCTGCCTGGCCGCCGCGAGATCTTTGTGGCCATCAAGACGCTGAAGGTGGGCTACACAGAGCGGCAGCGGCGGGACTTCCTGAGCGAGGCCAGCATCATGGGCCAGTTCGACCATCCCAACATCATCCACCTGGAGGGTGTGGTGACCAAGAGCCGCCCTGTCATGATCATCACAGAGTTCATGGAGAACTGCGCGCTCGACTCCTTCCTCCGGGTGAGCATCCATCCCCTCCTGCCCTGAGCTGAGGGCTGCAGCGCATGGGGGACAGCAGCTCCGAGCCCTCCTTCTCCATCCCTCTGCATTGTTGCGCTGGCACACCCAGGGTTAAGCTGTGCATAGACATCATGGGGTGGGGGAAGAAGGGTGGCTCTAGGGAGGAGGAAGGTGGTGGTAGCATATTGGGATCCTTCCTCAGTCCGTTTGGGGTGTTGCAAACCCCTCTGACCTCTCCTCTGGCAGCTGAACGATGGGCAGTTCACGGTCATCCAGCTGGTGGGGATGCTGCGAGGCATCGCTGCTGGCATGAAGTACCTTTCGGAGATGAACTATGTGCACCGGGATCTGGCTGCCCGCAACATCCTGGTCAACAGCAACTTGGTCTGCAAAGTGTCCGACTTCGGGCTCTCTCGCTTTCTGGAGGACGACCCAGCCGACCCTACCTACACCAGCTCCCTGGTATAGGACTCTTGGGGGGGTACCCACCAATCTGGGTGCAGGGGGTACACCTCAGCTATGTGCTAAATAATGGAGCTGTGTATCTGTGCAGGGGGGCAAGATCCCGATCAGATGGACGGCTCCTGAGGCCATTGCCTACCGCAAATTCACTTCAGCTAGCGACGTGTGGAGTTACGGCATCGTCATGTGGGAAGTGATGTCTTACGGGGAGCGACCCTACTGGGACATGTCCAATCAGGACGTAAGTGCTCCCTGTGGAGTGGGGAGCTGTGGGCTGCCCGTGAGAGCCCAGGTGGCTCACAGCCTGCCTCTGAATGTCTCTCTGCAGGTGATCAATGCAGTGGAGCAGGATTACCGCCTGCCACCCCCCATGGACTGCCCCACAGCGCTGCACCAGCTGATGCTGGACTGCTGGGTGCGGGACCGCAACCTGCGGCCCAAGTTTGCACAGATCGTCAACACGCTGGACAAGCTCATCCGCAACGCTGCCAGTCTGAAAGTCATCGCCAGCGTCCAGTCGGGGTGAGTGGCATCCCTGCCTCCAGCCAGGACTTCCCCCAAGCCCGGGGAACGCTGGGGTGGTTGCGACTAGAGATGTGGGAGGGCAGGGATGAGGAATCTCCCACGCTTGCAGTCACACCTCTCTGTTCCGGGCTCCCTGTGACCTGTAGCTCTCGTGACCTGTAGCTCTCTTGCCCTTTAGCATCTCCCAGCCACTCCTGGACCGCACTGTCCCAGATTACACCACCTTCACCACTGTGGGAGACTGGCTGGATGCCATCAAAATGGGACGGTACAAGGAGAACTTTGTCAATGCCGGCTTTGCCTCCTTCGATCTGGTGGCACAGATGACTGCAGAGTAAGTCCCTGCTTGTGGAGGAGGGAGAAGGCTGGTGCTGCTGCACATTGTCCCTTGTCCCTTGCCTCTCCGGCAGCCAGCTCCTCCAGCCTGAGCATGTGGAGGGCTGTGTTGTGCATGGAGTTTTCCCAAGTGAGTTAAGGTCTGGGATTCAGTGTCCAGTCCCCTATTAGAGGGACACTGGAGCTTGGCAGAGGGCTGTAATGAAGATGGATGGGTCCCTTGGCAGCAGCTAGATGGGGCAGAGCCACGTGCTGGTATTGCTGCTGGCAGGGGGCTGAGTCTTCACCTTCTCCTTGCAGAGACCTGCTGAGGATAGGGGTGACGCTAGCAGGGCACCAGAAGAAGATCCTGAGCAGCATTCAGGACATGAGGCTGCAGATGAACCAGACGCTCCCAGTGCAGGTTTGACCGCAGGGAACTCTGCATTGGAACGGACCAAGGGAACCTGCCAACCAGGTTCAGTTTGCGGTGCAGCCCGGCTTCCCGTTTCCCCCTTCACATGGCGCTCCTCTGCCTTGGACAGTCGCCTGGGACGGGACAGGATGGGCCGCCCTTCCCTGGATCGGAGGCACTCGTGCCGAGAGGGAGCCCAGCTTTTCGTCCCGTGTCCTGGAGCGGCGAGGCAGCAACGCATCTTCATATTGAAGATGGATTATGGGACAGAGATGGCACATCCCGCTTCCCGCCCTGTCTCGGTGCTCATCGGTTTGAAGAGTTGTTCTGCTTCTTGGATTTCTTTTCACCCCGTTTTCCCCCCGAAGTCCTCACTTCCCTCCCCTCCCTGAGGCCACAGACTGTCGACCTGTCCACTGAGTCCGTCAGACACGTCCGAAGCCTTCCCCAACTCTGGTCCCCGCGTGGAAGCAGCCAGGGGAGGCCGAGCCAGCGACAGGGCTGGGGCCATCGGCTCCAGACAATCACTCCTCTCCTCCAGCCCTGGCGGCCCCTCCGCCCGAGGGTCTGCACTGGAAAGTGTCCGAAGGGAAGGCTTCGCTCCCTTTCTTGGCTTTGCACGCCAGAACCCAAACCCCATGAGATTTACTATGCAGGGAGTTAGGCAAAAAAAAAAAAAAAAAAGAAAAAAAAAAAGAGAGATATTAAAAAAAAAATAAAAATAAGAGGGAGCAGAAAGGGGAAGGAGGGAGACCAGGCGCCCGGCTCCACATCTCTTACCCTCTTGGTTCTCCTGGCCCGCCCTGGAGTGTG